AATTTACTGGTAGTCTCGAAACTCTACTCTAATACGAAAATAAATCCTGCCTTATGTTGAGAATATAGCCACTTAGAAAATAAGCAGGTCACTGACCATTTACAGTTATCCGTTGGCCGAGGGGAATGCCTTAATTTTTCACTTTGATAAGCTGTAACTCTGTGCTTACGATGGCGTCTCTCACTGGCGATGTCGGCGAAACGTTTTGGAATGTACCCAGCAAATGGCCCAATGCTGTAAATCACGAATACTATGTCAGTGGACGCTGGACTAAGTACGTCCCGCGAGGTCTCCCTGACGTTCCGACCAAGTTGCAAAAACTAGAACCAAAACTGTTCAGCTAAATGAGACTGCGACCAAACAGAAGGCTATACCATCTTGGTTTTCATCGCTATGATTTAAACATTTATTTTGGCACATTTTTTTTGCATTGTATAACTACGAAAATACTATTTATGATCCCCAAGGGATTGATCCTCTGAATTTTTGTGTGAATATCGATTTTCGCACAATAAGGTAATAAAAATGTTCTTATATGCATCAGAAATAATCCAACGGAGACTGGTAATAGATTGTAATGCATGGAGCAACATTTTTTATATTGTGTTAAAATATCCTTGGTAGAGTTTCTCCAGCAGACTCAGCCACCAAGACCTACTACTCGGACTTTATTTTATAACTGACGAAGTAAATAAATTACTTAAAAAAAGAATGATTTAATACACATTTCTGATAATTTGTAATCAATTGGAAACAGTTTATCAGATTTTTAATTGCCGGCCCCAAAATCATCGCAAAATTGATATTTAGATTGAAGTGTAAAGATGAATATTTATTAAAAAGGAAAAAGGACTGCCTACCAGAATCGGCGTTGAATAGCAGGAGAGGGTCACTACGATCCGAATGGCTCTGAAGCGAACTGCTGGTTTCAGTGGAAAAGTGTCTTGCTAACCAGGGCACTGAAGCGCTTGGAAGCGGTAAATAACCATGTGGCAACAAGTGATTTAACCAGGGATCAGCTCGACTCTCGCCACATTCTAGAGACTGAGGGCTGTTAGCATTCGAAACTGATGAAATCAAAGCACTAGGAGCAGGATGGAATACGATAAGGCCACCATGAGTATCAAGAGTAGTTGGACGGGGCGTATCGGCACTTGCGAAAGAAGTACCGGTAGTGGACATGGAGGTAGTCGTCGGTGCAGTCACCGATTCAGTAGGGCGTTTAAGTTGCATAGAACCCGAATTTATGGTTAGCAGATGACAACTTATTGAGCCAAAATGGGAGCGTACACTTTGGTAGATAGCTTCAGCTCTAAAAAATTGGCAAAATATTGGTTTATGAAGAATACATCTCTCGTATATATAACTAAATGTCTTATCTTAAGAACATTAAGAGCGGAATATGCATAAGAGAAGACAGAAAAATTGAAGAGCAAGAACTCAGTATAATGTCTGGTTATATGGGTACTACGAGCATGCCTTGGAGATCCAAGAGTATATTGAAATTTAACTTCAGCACGCAGTTGAGCGGATGGAACGTTTCGAATCCGACCTTTAAAATCGTATCTTCCACTAAATGCTTACAGTTTGACTGCGCATATTAATGTGCATCCCCACCTTTCAGATATCTAATTAGACAGTCTTACTTCAAGCCAAAAAGTGAAGAAACACTTTCAGCCAAACACCATCATTGCCATAACCATATCCATTTCTCTTTCTCATAAGTTCCCGCCTGC